ATGAACCTCTGATGATTGTAGAGGCCAAGGATGATCTGTGGTTTGAGTTTTAATAGGCTGCTCCTCGTCTCCTTAAATACATTAGTACCCAGGCATGGTTGTCTAGTGTGGTGATTTGTGAACCCAATAAAAGCATGTGCTGAGGCAATAGGTCTGATGATATATTGATATTTATGAGTGAAGCCGGGTGACAAGGCATATGCTATATGCTTAGTTGGGTCATGTGGTTATGAACGCCAAGTGCCTATTTTGTCTATTTGACCGGACTCACTTAAGACCCCGTAGGCATTACAATCTAGATAGAAATGTTGGTATAAGTACCGTGGCAATGGTGAAAGTACTTGGAGAAAACTATATGGGATTGATGAGAACCTAAAAAAAAGTCTTGCTTCACATCACACCGATCAGATACTACTCCTCTTTAAGCAGGAACAACTTTTGTGAGTGCGATCTGATTGGATTTTATGGGTTTTGAATATATATTATGTCCCCTTGATCTGTTAATGTGATTGCTTTTGTTACTGGCTTTACTGGGCTTTATGCCGTTGTTCTCATCATCTTCAATTTGTTAAAAAGGTTATGAACAATCCTTGTTGTGAGAGTTTGAGGATTCACATTGTCATTATGTCCCCAGTCTATTTTACTTCATTCAATTTTGATTCATTAATTCATTGGCTAAGCTTTTTGTTGCTGACTATAGGGGTTTGTGGTAATTAAAAAAATCATTAAATGTTCATTAATGTTCACATTGGCGTTCATGACGTGATTTTATTATATTAAGTTACATAACCTCCATTTATATACTTAAATATTATTAATGCTGAAGGTTTTATTGCTTTTAGTTAATGAGTATTCCGTTGGTGAATTTAATCCCTTCCATTTGTTGAGGTTTTATTGCCTTGGTTGATGGGTATATTAAATTGGTATGAATAGTTGTTAACCTCCTTGATGTCTTGTCTTCCTTGGGTCATTATTTTAATATGGCAATACAATTATATATGAGTGCATACGTGTTTCAATATGTTGGCTTTATGTTTTTTTTCCTTAGCAGAACAATTCTAATTTAACTAGAATGGAGGAAATAATGGTGTAAGATTCTAATTTAATTAGAATTATTATTGATAAGGTATGAAAATAATTTTCCTATAAAAATAAAATATTTAAAAGTGTGGAGGTATTTAAAATGTGGGGTACCTTGCAGAAATAATATTGGTGGGGAAAATATATTTAATTTATTTTAAATTGTTAGTCTCATTTTGCAAATCTCAATATGTGTGTTGTAATTAAAAAACAAAATAAGTGGAGGCTTTGTTATTTGTTATTGAGAGCAAATTTTATGAATTATCAAATTTAGTCATTTATCAAGTGCAGAGATAAATGTGCTTTAATTTTCATAATATCATTATTTGTGGATAAATAATTTATCTCGACATAAATATGCATGAGTATGCATAGTTATTGTGAGTATTGAATTTTAATGTGGCTATGAAATATTATGCTTTTTAGCTTCAAAATTCAAAATGGAAGTATAGGTGAAATAAATGTGTTTTTGAGTGCTAAAATCGTAAAAGTAGTAGCAAAATCTCTCAACTTGAGAGGTGTTTCTAGAGTTTGGTTCCCAAGAACTAGTATGTGAATATTTCTATGATATTTTGTTTGAGATAGTTGCACAGCTCAATCTGTATATGCACAAATTTTTTAGAATTTGTTGCATTAAACTAAATTAGTTATAGTGATAAAACCTATGTTGTAAAGTTGAGCATATATTTAAATGAAGTCTTGGAAAATGAAATATTTGAAGGGTACTATAAATGTTGGTATTATGTGCAGTAGATTTTCGTTGTATGATACACGGATGTTAAGTGAATTTCAAGTTACGTGAGAAACTCCAATAGTGATTATTCACTTATAATGATGATTGGAGGCTAAGTTGTTGGGAACTCATTAGCAAATATTTTGGTGTAAAACTGATACTTAGTGTCGATGAGTTGTGATTGCTAAATGATAATAACCATTGTAAAAAAAAAAAAACAACAATAGTGCAAGTACACATTGTTTAAGATACTGTGTGAATAAGCTAGCTTAAGAATTATGGAGTTATCTCAGTCGATTTTGTGAGGTCAAAAGTGAACCTAGAAAATCCGTTAAAGAAATTCTTAGTGGAAGAAACGGATTGTTGAAACATCGAGGAAAATGGAACTTAAGTCAATATGAAACTAACAATGATGGAAACTCAACTTTTGCGATTAGAGATCCCACGAAGAAGGTTCAAAAGGGCAAAACAAATTGTTTGTTAGTTCTGCTAGCGCTAATATAAATCACAGTCCCTTCCTATGATGTGAGAAAGTGATAGAATGCATTTTTTAGTAACGTTAAGTGAAAACTCTTAATAATTTTATAATTATATGGGATGGTGTGCTCATTGCAAGTACACTTGATGAAATCACCTCTACGAATGTGAATTGGGCCGCTTCCATGAGATCATGGGAAAATCTCTAAAGCATTTTTTAAGAACCAGACACACACATGGCCATTATAACACGCAAAACTGCCGTTAACAATAGAAATTGTAGGGGTATAATTTGACTTTTAATGCCTCTAATACACATTCAAGAGTTGTTGGTTCATAGAAGCAGGCTTCATTAACATCTTTGTGTACTAAGTGTTATTGGTCTAGGTCTGGTTCATAGTTTGAAAGACACCAAATTCAAAATGGTTATACTCGTGTGTGTAACTCAGATGATAATACTCTTTTTGACATGTGTAGGGAATTGTTAGAGTTTTAGTATGTGAGTATATCAAAAGAAGTCCCATATTACTCAAGATTGAGAAAACCTTACTGTTTACTAAGATGTGAGCTTAAGCTAATAAAATAACTGAGAAGATGAGTATTTAGAACTGGTTGTTAGAGATTACCATTGAAGCATTTATATGTCTTAATTAGTCGGTTTTATTCTTTCATAAACCATATTCAATAGCCTTAAAATGATTTAATTCACTTTACTCAATTGTTTAAAAACTGCTCTTTGATTTTCATTAAAATCATCTTTAATTACTATTATGACAGCCCAATGGTCACATATTATCTGCCTACAAAAGGCAAAACGGTCATATATTATCTGCTTATAAAAGGCAATGTGTGGTGCATGGTTAGGGCGCATTGAGTTCTATCCCCGAGCTCTCCTCCTTTTTCTCTTCTCTTAAGTTTTAAATTTTTGTTGTTCTGTTACCTTACTTTATGCAGGAAGGGTTCGTTTAATCTTGGAGAGTGCCACCTTTTATTCTAACCTGTGTAGCGGAATAACTCTTAAAGACAATGTTCTTGGACACAACTTGAACCATATTTTTGTTATTTTTGCAGGTGTTGCCACTGAGAAACTGATAGAGATATATACAAATAGTAGCTGAACTAATTGAGTTTGCCCATAACCGTGAAAGAAAAAACCGGACCGGATCGGTCGATTCAATCAGAAAATCGGTGAACCGGTCTGGTGTCCAGTTTGATTTATTAGGTGAACTGGGCAATGTTCAAACCGATATTGAACTGATTAAATCAATCAAAACTGATGTTAAACCGGGTAAACCACTGGCTGGAGTGGGTTAGGCAGTTTAGTGATTTTGCCCCTCCCATCAGCAAAAAACAACATCGCTCTGTCATTGAGGGGGAGAAAAAAAGCCCCAATTTGGCCAATCTCTAATATGATCTGGAGAAATAAATGAAAAGAAGAAAGAAGAAAAGAAACTCCATATTTGTCTGCTTGCCCGTCGATTCTAAGTTTAGTCTTCCAATTGAACTTCGCTGGTGCTCATGGCCGTCATTTTCACTCGTCTTTTCTTGCTACATAGCCATCATTCTTAATACACAGCTATCGCTGCTGTATCTTCATCTCAGTATTCTTCTTCCGAGACACAGCTCTTGTTGTTGGAAGGAAAGGAGAAAGAAAGGGGAGAAGAAAGAGACTAGGCTAATTGAAAATAAGAAGGAAGAAAGGAGAGAGTGGAGCTCGCGCTAGGAGAACATAAAAGAGTCTGCAAAAGTACAGAGAGATGTGAGAAAAACCAAAGTCAATTAGTCAGATGATATGATTTGATGCATGAGTGTGGAAGGAGAAAAGAATGGAAAAAAAAAAGGTAAAGGCTTTCGCGTGCTTATGCAGGAGATAAGGAGAGAGAATGAAAAATAAAAGTAAAATTGTAAACCTGAAAAAGAAAAAAAAAAGCTAAAAAGGTTGAATTTGATGGGATATGAATTTATGAAAAAGGAAGAGAATAAAGAGAAAAAAATAAAAATAAAAAGATTAAATAGTATGTTTTTAATTAGAATAGAATTTTTTTTACATATTTTAATTAAACAACATTATTTTAATTGTTACCGGTTTAACCCGGTCTAACCCATTAACTCTTAAACCAGTATATCAATCAGTTTATTGACCGGTCCGGTTTTTTATTTCTTGCTCACAACAGATATTGGACTCATCATAACTGATAGAGCAGGATATTACCTTGTGTTGTGGGGATCCATCTGAACCAGATCCTGAATATCATCGATTCTACGAGCTAACATCTATCATGGACAACGCAATAACTTAATATTGGAGAATTGGCATCTTTTACGTGAAGGCTTCTTCATGATGCCGAATCTAAGCGGCCCAATAAGTCTAACATACGATATGTAATGTTTTATGGCAGGTATTGAGCCCTGTTCGGAAAGACAAATCTGGTTTGGCTTTCTTCAAATATACGGAGCCAAACCTCAAATTCTCAACCATGTTTTTCAGAAAGGGAAAAGGTAAGCATTTTAAGTTTCTGCATAACCCAACATCACAATGGTCAAACCTTGACATCCCCCACTGCCAGTTGCGCGCATGCATTGAATACCAATACCTTTAATTAACAAAAATATCTTTAAAAAATAATATTTTTAATTATAAATAATTAACTTAGTTAATTTTTTAATCTACTTATATTAATCCACTACCTTCTGTGGCTGGAGAGGAGGGAGTATTTCTTCAATCTATTGATTGAAGCGTTGCTTTCACTGTGCTGGAGGGGACGTCCTTGAGTATATTGGGTTGTCTGGACGCCGAAGATTCGGAAACGAACCAATTATGTTGGCGCCTCAACCTGGGCCAATCTCAATACGCATCATCCGCTCTTCTGGGAGATTTTCCGCCATAGCATTTTCTTCCACGTTGCCGTGCCATTGTTTCCCCTCGCGTTTGCAGTTTATTGAGCCTCTGGTTCCCATGGCTTTTAATTCAAGGGAACCACTGCATTTGGCAGGGAATCGCAAAGCCAGCCACAGCAAAAGTAGAAATGTCCACCACAAGCGAAGCATTTTCGAAATTCAAGCCTCAAGCTCAAGCTCAAGCTCTTCCTCCGACACCGATCTGGTCTTGGTTAGCTCTTTGATCACCGTCACATTGGCGGTAGCTAATCGAGTGCTTTACAAGCTCGCCCTGGTTCCCATGAAGGATTTCCCCTTTTTCCTGGCTCAGTTTACAACTTTTGGGTCAGCCTCTTCTGTGATTTCCTTTCGCTAACGCATTCCTCTGGTTTTTTTTTTCCCGGTTAAATATAATTTTTTTGGGTTTATTAAGTTGATCAGCTTAACTGTATATCTTACAAAGGACTTGGTTTGGCGTAATATAGGTATGTAATTATATATTTTACTATCTTGTATATACGATATCGGGCTGGCGTTGTGACACGCGATATGATGGCCATTCCGAAATTGCGCTTCTTGGCAGTTGGTTTTCTTGAAGCTTTGGGAGTGGCTACTGGGATGTCTGCTGGAGGTACCTTACAAAGAGTTGCTTATTCATGGATTGAGAAACCATTTTGCGTTGTGTTGTTTGTATATTTATGTACATTCGATTTCTTAGAGAGAACTAGGCAGCATAAAACTGTGATTTTGTCACCTTCAATGGGTAGTAAATGAATTGCTCTCTATTGGACTCGGGGAAAAGAAAACGAAGGTGGTGGCTGCTATTGATATACCATGTAATATGTGGTGTTATGCTTTGGGTTTTTCTTATACTGAATATCAGTTGCCTTCTGCAGCCATACTCCCTGGACCTGCCATACCCATATTGAATCAGGTATCTTAACTATTTAAGCACCCTTTTTCATCCACTTGACAAGAAAAATTGAGTTTCATCTTTACCTCTGGCGGAGTTTGCTTTACTTTCATATTTTCATTTATCATACATTTGGCATACAGAATTGCTTGATCAAACCAAAATGCTTAGATAATTTGATCTTTAAGTTTTTTCCTCTCTTGATGCAAGTACGTCCTGCATCATTGATTGTATAATTTCCATTATCCATCCTTTCATCATGACTAAGCTGAAGAGAACCTTGAACATTTCTGTGGGATCTATAGAAAATGTATAAAATACCAACAAGCTGTTGATTGAAACGGTAAACAGTCTCACCCCCATAAGGAGGAGAACACAAATTCGAATCCCGGGCAGTGCACTTGTTGGGAGGGTTTTAATCTTAATACTCTCGGCCCGAGAGATATGTCTCAAGTCTAAAGTGACTTGGGGAGACTTTGAGTTTATACCAAAAAAATGTCTAAAATAGTTAATTGGCTTGGAAATTGTTTGTGGGAGCATTATTGTACATTAACTTAAGAATCTCAAATTACTGCTTTCTTTTCAGACATTTTTGGTTTGGCAACTAATATTTTCAACCCTCCTCTTGGGTAGAAGATACTCAATCAACCAAATTGCTGGGTGCCTACTTGTAGCCACTGGTGTCGTGGTGGCTATTGCAAGGTATATAACTCTGCCATGTTGGGAGTGGACAAATGAGGCAGTCACTCTCTGGACTCTCCATAGTCAGTGTTTCTGAGTTATCTAACTTGTCCGAAGGCCCTGGAAGCATTAACCACTTTTAGTGAGAAATATCTGAATGGCTTGCTTTTTCAATTTAGGCATATAAAGATTACAGAGTTCCAAATGAGATTTGGCATAGATGTGTCCTGAGGTGCACGATCGTTGAAGCATATTTATGATAGTAGCAGAGTTATTTCTGATCCAGAAAAACGGAAAAGTAAATATATCTGAGAGTAATTTTAAATATGTTTTTTTACTGGTTTTTAACTGCAATGGTGTACAGTTATTGAGACTACATTTTTTACTTGGTACTTTTTTAACCTTTAGGTGTAAAATACTCTGTACGTGTTTTTCTTTATTGTATTTGTTTCAGGAAGCAATCTAAATTCGTTGTATTTGTAAAAGGTTTGCTTAAAAGTTAAAAACTATTATTAACATTATAACCCCTCAGATGGCTCCTGGCCTTCTAACTTGAATGCGTTGGAGAATAATTAAATTTGTCTGTGTCATTTCCTATAACAGATTTTGCAAATTGTGTAACGATACTACCCATGTCTTTCAGGGTGGTTCTTTTAGATTACTAATCTTGCACAGCCAATATCTTTTCTTCTTCTTCTTGTTTTCTTTTGGACCATTACAGTCGATATAGTTGCTCGACTTGTGGTTCTGGCTTCACTATGATGAAATGGGCCCCTGGCCCCAGCTAATCATTTACATCCTACAACTGCAGTGGGTCTAATGCAGGTCAGATGTTATCTGAAGTTGAGTTTTTTTGGCCAGCATTGATGATAGTTTCTAGTGCTTTTCAAGCTGGTGCATCTATAATCAAGGTTTGTCCATTGAGTTGAGGCAGATTCTGTGTTAAGCTTATTTTAAGCAAAGTCACAAACTTTTGCATTTTCTTGTATGACAGGAGTCTATTTTTATTAATTCTGCCCTTCAACTTAAGGTATGGCTGTTTCACTTAGTGTACAATTGAGGCCACCACAATCATGATTGCAGTTGGCAATGCAAGTGATGCACGGTTGGATTTATAAGTCCTTAACTTGTCCACATGCAGGGAAAATCACTAGACATATTTGTGGTCAATTCCTTTGGATCTGGGTTTCAGGTATGGCTTGCTAGGGCTATGCCAGTTTACAGATGGCTTAATTGGCACAATGTAAACTGTGTTTAACTTAGTAGATCTTTGCTTATATTTGACTATAACGAATTCAATGCAGTTTTTGGTTTCTTATTCTGTTATTGCTCATTTCATAGTCGTTATACCTTGTAATGCAAGAACAATATTGGAGCAACCTATGAGTTTAGACTTTCTTAATTTTTTTGGCACTTGATCATGTATGTTGCTATTATTTTGCTCCTCACTTCAATTATGAAGCTTCATATCTCCCCTATACTATTTGAAAATATTAAACTATTTCCATTTACACCCCCCGGGGTGTGTGTGTGTGTTGAAGATTTACTGTTGAAGATTTGTATTATCTTGCATGAAAAAGCCAAAAAGTCATTTATTTGAAAAAATAAGTTTTTGGACTGCAGCTCAATCGGAAAATTCATTTCGGCATTTTACTTAGAGTTGGCTCTGAATGAATGCTACTTTCGTCCTTTGAAAGTTCTGGTGCGGAATGCAAGAGTCAAATGATTCTACAAATTCTTATTTTGAAAGTATCTTACTAGCTAGCTATTAAACTGATCTGAATGATGTCCATTTTATGCTTATGACTTCCATATTGAAAATTAGGGTGTGTGCGTGTGCGTGTGTTTAGTTGCCTAATTATTATCGTTATTTTTTAATGTAGGCTCTTTTTGTTCTTCTCCTTCTACCATTTCTTTCTAATTTGAAAGGGATACCTTTTCTTCAACTTCCTTCATATTATAAACGCGCTGCTGGTTGCTTTCTAAATACAGGAGCTGATACAATAGGTAAGCTCTAATAAATTACGAGCTATCCAATAACAGACCTTAATGCATGGTTTTCTACTCGAAGTCTCTAACAATATAATTGTATGGATTCAAGTTCATTCTTCTGCTGATAAAATTCTATCAGACTAGATATCATGTGAGATCTTTTTCTTTGTTTTGGTTGATTTCTGTCAATGCCTAGACCTGCGTAGATAACTGGCCTATCTCTTGGAGATTTTGGTTACAATTCGCTCAGTAGAAAAAACGGGTAGTTGATTCTTGCAAGACACAAGATGATCACCGTTCAGATATTATTGTCTATCTACTACTACTATATTTTTGTTTAACACAGGCTACAAGCTATGGATTAAGCCATACGGTATAAGGAGCTATTTAATAGCATAATGCTCCATATACACATTTTTAAGCAAAAGATCACTACACCCTGAAGGCAGGGCATCAAAGGTCACATATCAGTTTTCCTATAAGATGGGCCTGGAGGGCCATCCATTATGTTTATCCATGTTCCTATTTCCTTAATTTATTTTTCTTTATCCATGTTCTTCACAATCCAGATGTTTATGCCTTAGGTTGCGATGGGGCTCCCTTCCTTCCGCTACTTTACGTCGTTATGAATTTGGCATTCAACATATCAGTGCTTAATGTAGTCAAAGTTTCTTCTGCAGTTGTTGCTTCACTTATGGTAATGTTGTCAGGTACTCACACTTTCTACATCTATGTTTATTTCATTTAATAAAAATTTGACGATCCATTGTCTCTTGCGTAAATTGATTCATCTTTTAAATTATGTGCATATCAGCTGACGTATTCTTATGAACATGCAGTTCCAATTTCAGTTTATATTCTTTCCCTTCCACTGCCATATCTTCCTGGGGGAACAACCTTCAGCCCGTTTTTTCTGCTTGGCTGTGCGATTCTCGTATGTGGTCTTGCTCTGTACAACGCAACGCAACTTTTCAAGCGTGGTTCTAAGGCTGACTAAAAGCTGATCCCTTCCATGAAATCAGTGCTCGGAGCGGAGAAATAACCGGTGCTCTGGTTATAGGCGCAGTGAAATATAATTTTTTTTGAACCACATAACATCCATCTTGTATATATCTTAACTAGCAATTCGCCCGCGGAATGCTTTCTATCATTTCATTTCATATTGAAATATTTTGAAATAAATAATATTTAATAAAATGGTATTTTTTTGGGTTAACGTACAATTTTATTTCCGAAACATTTAGCTGTGCAATTAATATCTGAGTTTTTTTTTTTGGGGGTTGGCAAAGAAATCTTTTATTTTCTCATGAATTCAATTCTAGAACCAAGAGTTCTATTGACTAGGTTCATATCTTCTTGTTGAATATATTCTTTATATTCATTTTGAATTAATTTTCCCCAAGGGTCTTTAATTTTCTCAAAAATCATATCAACAAAGACAGTATAATCTTCACTGACAGTATTTCCCAACGCTCCTTGGTGCCAAATCGTTTCAAATTGACACGAATATTGTTCAAGAAATTTAGGGTTACAAAGTTGTAGTTGTTCTATATAAGTTTTTAATGTCACAACGTTGCCCTAAACTAACGCAAGCAGTACTAACCACAGGAGATGGACCCGCCCATTTACATCAAAAAGAGCTAATAGTCATATGGCTGTAAGTGTTGAAAACGGGAGAATTAATAACAACCCCATGTCACAGTCGCCCTCGCCCTTAAAAACGGGAGATGCGCATAACATTAATCTTCTTCATGTATTTGCTTCCTTCAACTTTAAACTGCAACCCGAAAACATAGGGGGAGAAAATGGCCTTAGCATATCTACGAAATCTCACAACACAAAATCTAAGAGCAAAGAAGAACGGCAAAGAAGCTTGTCCAAACCGTGGATAAATAAAACAAGTTGAGCAACACTTTTCAACAATAATTTCCATACTAAGGCCGTGTTTGGATGTCCCTCCAAACCATGATTTGGGGAAGAAACCAGCCAAACAGGGGTAGAAAATGTGAAACCATGGTTTGGGGTCAAACCAAAACCATGGTTTCGACAGAAGTGGTTTGAAGTTGCTTCTGGCTCAAATTTTCCAGACATTGGTGTGAGCCCAACAACATATGACAAAACAGCCCCCATAATTGATACCTCACTCTTCATTCCACACTTGGTTCTTCACTATTTAATCTTATAATTTATAAATATATATACATATTGATTATTTATTAGTTATATTATCTTATATATTATTAATTATGTTAGTAAAAATTATTTTATTAACAATTTTATTTCTTCAAATCAAAATATATTATAAAATCTATCCCTTATATAATTATAATATTAATTTATGCCATTTTTAGTAATTTGCACATATAAAAAGTGTTTTTGGTAACAACTATCTAAACACTCTCACTTCTCATAATCACTTTTTCATAAAATCTATTCTCTCCAGAAACTATTTTCTCTAGAATCTATTTTCCAGAAGCTATTCTCCAAACCATGGTTTGGTTTTATCCAAACACACCCTAAGTTTTAAATCTTAAGGAAGGTTGCAAACTGTGGTAGTTGACCCTAAAAAAAAAAAATCACTTAGTGGCAATTAAAATGGTGGAGTGGGCAAGAGATTGAGAGAGAAGACAAACTGAGACTTGACAGGCACTAAGGGGGTGTTTGGATATAACCAAACTATGGTTTGGAGAATAGCTTCTGAAGAATAGATTCTGGGGAGAATAGATTTTTTGAAGAATAGATTTTGTGAAAAAGTAATTCTGAGAAGTGAGAGTGTTTGGATAGTTGTTACCAGAAGCACGTTTTACATGTACAAATTGCTAAAAAAGGCATAAGTTAATATGATAATTACAGAAAAATATATTTTATGATATAGTTTAATTTGAAGGAATAAAATTGTTAATAATATATTTTTTATTAACATAATTAATAATATATAAGATAATATAATTAATAAATAATTAATATGTATATATATTTATAAGATATAAGATTAAATGTATTTATAAAAAAATATGTTTATAAAAAAAATAACAAGATACATATCCTATAGGCTCTCACACTCTCCTTTTTTTTTTTCCAAAAGCAAAAAATTTTTGCTTTTCCCAAAACCATGGTTTTGGTTTTTTTAAAAGTGTTTGGGTGATTTTTTCCCAAACCATGGTTTGGGTCCCCAAACCATGATTTGGGTGATCCCTTAAAGGTCAGATATATGGAGTAGCCGAGACCAAGATCTAGAGGATGAAGGGCTAAAGGCTCTGTTCTTAGACGAAGTCAAAGAACTTAAGAACAATGATGTCGAGGCAGATGACACTGATGGCCATTGTGATTGGGAGACATCAAGCGAGAGTCAGATTCAGCAGGATGTAAAGTCGAATGCTATAACGGGGGATTTTTTTGGTGAGGTTGGTGAAACAATGCACGTTTATACTAACATCCGTGGGTGAAACAGGACTATGTTCAGCTAGAGAAGACCATTGGGCCGAAGACGTCATTATTAGCGAATGAGGGAAAATCTTACTTATCGGGCATGCTAGGCATGAGTGTTAGGCTTAAGATCAGACACCATTAACAAAAAACCCAATATCATGTTGGAAGATAAGATTGAGTCCCAAAAGATAACATGACTATATCTCAGGGTGTCTGAATTGAAACGAAACCACAATTTTAAGAATAATTTTACAGTATACAAAGTAAATATGTAGAAGAGTTTGTCTCGATTTGTAAAAAAATGCTTTTGAAAAACACTTTTATAGCTTCCCAAACACTTTTTTAAAAAGCAAAAACGAAAACCATGCGCCACCTTAGAACAATGATTTATTGTCAATAAGAGTTGGTCTAATTTGTAAGAAATCAACTCATAACCTATAAAATTGTGAATTCGAATCATGTTGTCGATATAAGAATCTTGTTGGTGGTCCAATTTGTAAGTACATCTGTAAATATTTTTTAAGTCTGGGGACATGTCCTGATTTTGGTGAGTTGTTGAAACTCACCTCCCTTTAACTTATTTATTATAAAAAAAAAAATTGATTCATTGGTTCTAATGTAAACCAACTCTTCCATAATTTCAACAAAGACTTCTAACACACTTCGGTGAAATGTTTACAAGGATTAATTCACTCAACGTCAACATAAGCCTAGACAATAGTAGCATTTAGAAAATACTACCTCTGATCCTAATTATAAGAGCTAGTTGACTAATTTGAGAAGATTAAGGAAAAAAGTTAAGTTAGTTATTTGTCATAAATATGTATTGTTTTTTCTAAAATATTCTTACTAATTAAGTATATTGGCTGGTACTATCATTGTTAGAGAGACTATCTTGGAAAAAAAATACATAAATATTATAGACAAAGTGGATTGAGATCTTATATTTAGGATCAAAATAAAAGCCAAACCAAACCTTATATTAAAGACAGGAGGTAGTAAGATCTTTCAAGAATATCATAAACCATCTTTATAAGAATTGATTCACTCGGCGTCAACATAAGCTCAAGCAATAATAGTATTTAAAAAATAAGATCCTTCAAGAGTATCGTAAACCACCTTGAGAATACAGGGACGATGGATCATATTCCAGATAAAAACCAAACAAGTTTCCTCGCGACATCTTCTGTATGGTAACCAGGCAAGAGAATAAGAAACCGAATTCAAGCATGAGAAAAAAAATTACTTAGGTACCATTCTTGAATAACAAAAGTAAATTCTTGGAGAAGCTACATTCCTTGGCGTGGAATAAGCGCAAAGTCATGAACAACGCAGTTAAGGTGGTACTAAACAATCCAAACCAAGTCCTCAACCCCCACAATGAAAATTCACAAAGTGCTTCAATCTTCAACGTATGAACAGACGATGACTCAGAACCTTGACAAACAAGTAATGACGTCAACAATAATTTGGGCGCTTTTCCCCACATGACGGCAATAGCATGTTGGACAGGAGAAACGAATAGACCTGATATGAAAAGAAAAATAGTGGAAAACAGTAGCAGGATAACAAAAAAACCTAGAAAAATCGCGTACAAAGATCGTAGGAAGATTGAGAAGTCACGGAGCAGAGAAAATAAGAGAGATAGCTCCTCTCTACCGTCTTCAATTAATTCGTTTAATTTAGCTCTCCGTTAACTTAATTTTTTTTTTTAACTTTGTCAAAACTTAAGTTCAGATAGTGCCATGCATGAAGCCCAAAATTTTATTACACTAAGTATGATGCAAATTCTAACAGAGTTAAAATATTTAAAAGGATCACAGCTAATTTATCATGCTCCTTTCACATATTTTTATATTAATATAAGTTTTTTTTTTATAAAAGCCTTATGTTTTAATTTATAAAACGTTCCAATAAAAGATTACAAGACAAGCAACACTTTCAGTTTCAGGCTTAAAGTATACAAGGTTATATCAAAATTGTGACATTAAAAAAAAAAAAAAGAGTCTAATCCGAATCATTAATTGGCGGCAATTATGAATAATTTTGAAGTATAAATTTGAAAATAGAGATATCAACTGTCAACTAACAAACATTGTTTTTATAATGGGCACGGGATAGTTAAAAATAAAAAAAAGAAAATTACTCTTTTAGTCTTTCAATTTTTAATTCAGTCCCTTAACTCTGACTCAGTGCGACTCAATTCTTAAACTTTTGACTCATTTATAACTTCTCTTTATCTTTTTCAGTTTTTATATTATGATTCTGAGTCATCCTACATGGCAAAAATAACTAATAACACCCTTATAATTATTTCCACCTCAGCTCCACCTATTCTCTTTTTCCAAAAAATAAAATAAACAAAAGAACGAGCTGCATAACCAGATGATCATCCTTCCCACCAGTATTCGCAGGCTTGCCGGTGTCTTTGTGGTCTCTGAGATCACCACAGTTGGGATTCAGACCAATTCCCAGCTTCAAATCTAACACTCACTTCCATTCTCGCTTTGGAGTTCATTGCCCTCCTCCTCCATTCCTCCCTCACTTTTGCAAATATCTTTTTCTTCCGCAGCTTTTGTGAGTCTGCCTTTGTGACTGTGTGAGGGTATTTGAAAAAGACGAGGGGCTAAGACGAGGTCCTCGTTTTCTAGTCCTGCTTCTTCTAGTTCTCTCTCTCCGTCGGCAGCAAAGTCATAACTTGCCATCTTTGGAATTCACCCAAGATGCGAAATTGGGTTTCAATCCCAACTGTGGTGATCTTAGAGACCACAAAGACGCCAACAAGCC